TGGTTGTGGGTAAAATCATGTTCTTAGGTTCTTCATTTGTAAACGTCTCTTCCACCTCAAGCAGTGGCATAAGTGAAGTCATAAATGCTGGTCAGATTGGCGGCAGCAGTTCATTGCAGATTAGTCGTTACAATCAGTTCATTGCAGATTAGTCGTTACAAGCAGTTCATTGCAGATTAGTCGTTACAAGCAGTTCATTGCAGATTAGTCGTTACAAGCAGTTCATCTAGAGTCTCTCCTCGCACGCTCTCCTCGACTCTAAACCCTAAACCACTATYGCAATTCAATTGTATTAGAGCTTTCTATATATACGGTGRGATGTTCAAATAAGAATGCCAAATATAGTGAGCAGGTAAGAATGAAAGGTTAAGGGAGGTTCGTATGTGAATCATTGAAAACATCCATTTGAATAATCTGTAATGTCAGTTCATATATGCATCTTCAAGTAGATATTTTCAATGATTGACATATGAATCTTCCCTTGACTTCTCACGATATTTAACCTTCTTATTTGAACGTGAAGGATCTCCTGAGTTGCTACCCAGTTTTCATATAGATGCGTTTTCAATTGTACAAGTATGTAGACTTTTGAACTTCAAATATGTCCTGAATTCTGCCACCTATTCATTCTGATGGCAGCTTTCAAAATGGATGGCTAACAAAAAGAGCAAGCTGCAACCAGCGGGTGTTGCAGTTCATTTGGATTTAATATCAAAAGTTCATGGGTTGGAAGAAGTAGAGAAATCTGGTGCAGAATCTTTAGGTGATGAAATTACTGAAGCTCAGGAATATGATGAAATGGAAGCCGAGTCATCGCTAAGCAAGTGAGAACAGGTTCTGAGTCCTTATTGTTTGTAAGTTTCTTAAAGAACGCTATTTGGCAACTTCTGTGTTTTCCATTTCTGCGGGTTTCTGTTAGATTGTAAATTTGTTCGGTAGRACGAAGATATAACTAAATATGCAGATTTCATATCTATAAGTTGCTTTATTGCAGATATAGTTACATATTTCACATCGACCCCTTATATTCTAAATGTGAGGAGAAAATAGATATGACCTCTAAACCACAATTGGATTCTGAATTGAAACAGAAATATGGACTCGTATTAACCGAGTTATTGTTTGTGCATAAAAATTATGTGTAAAAACCCACTAGAGTAAAGATGGGTAAACATAACTGCTCCGGACCATTCCAACTTAACCAAATCTGGCTCGACTTCATAACTGGTTATGAAAGGACTGAACTGGATCGGTTAGGGACCGGTCAGCCAACTGGTTAAAACCAAAGGGACCTATACAGGGCTTTTTCTGGGACCGGTTACAAGGACCAGGTTGAAGGCCCCGTCCATGGGACTTGGTAGAGTCTTGCCCATCTGTTCTTCTAGCTCATTTTCTTTTATTTCCTTAAGCTATCTTTTGTTGGCCTTTTACACCTTTTTTAGGAACCAAATGTAATGGGCCGTTTATTAAAAGCTTACGCGGTAAGTACTTACTGGGCAATTTTCCGTACCGGATGAACATGGCAAGGGGCAAGAATCATACCCGGTAAGAGCGATGACAAGAATGGAGTCTTACCCGGTAAGTGAGAGTGACGACCCTTACCCGGATAAACGTTTACCAGGTAAATTGTTGCATAAGATACATTTTGATGTATTATAATCTTGCCCGATAAAATAAATTATCGTGTTGACTCTTAACGGTAAGCACTTACCGGGTAAGCATTTAGGTAAACGGCCCCAGACACCCCTTGTGCTCTACTTGGAAGTAGGATCTTTATGTGTTTATGTTTACACATCATTTGTATATGCTTGAAATATGCTAATTAGTGAACTTAAAGAAGTATCTAACAGGTTCTTGTACAAATAGAGCTATCGCAGCTGGATTTTAAAAGGCAACTGGAAGGGATAAAGCTATTTACTCTAAGCAAGATTTGGATGGAATGAGAAAGACATTGGTCTTCTATAAGGGTGCGTTTGGTGCGCGGACAGGACAGGACAGGACAGGACAGGACAGGACAGAACAGGTGTTCAGCGTTTGGTAAGACATAACAGGACAGGTTAAAATGACCAATTTACCCCCAGTAACCTGTTTAGTGTTTTTTTCTCTAAATAATCAATATAATAAATGCTTACAAATATAAACCACATGGATAGGGTAATAACAAATTATAAACCACATGGATAGGGTAATAACAATAACATGTTAAGATGGAAATCTAAAATGCAACTGATAATGGCATGTTAAGATGAACTTGTGGTTGCACTTATCTCAGATCAAGGTAAACATAATGTATTAAACACAACAGAAAACAGAAATTTCCAGTTACCCTTTGCTGTTCCAGAAAACAGAACAGAAAACAGGTTCCTAAGCAGAGATTTTTAACACAAAAGACATCATCTTGCTTAAAAATATGCTGCTTTGGGTCACTGGCTGGCTGAGGATTTGTTGGTGACTTTTGTCTGTCTTATGAAGACAACAGTTTAGTGGGTAACAGCACACACAAATGGGTTCCATCTTATGATATCTTCCATTGGAGCATCTCATATTCATATTACAACAACATTTTCATGCTAAATTTGAACCTTTTTGGCCCTAGCTTTACTGACTTTTGGATTTTGCTGGCTTATTCTGTTGCTTTGCTTCAGGAAGAGAACTGTCCCTTATATTTTCTTCCTTTTTTTTGCTTACTGGTGCTAATGTTTATTTGATGTTGAAGTATCTTAATTTGATGTTCAAGTATCTTAGTCTGATGGCACTGATCGTATATTTGCAAATAAGAACCCTAGTTTCCTAGAGCTGATGCTTCTAAATCTGGAAAGTAAGAACCCTAGAATCAAAACCGACAGAAAATAAGAACCCTAGAATCAAAACCGACAGAAAATAAGAACCCTAGAATCAATCGGGTACACATAGATGGAGGCGATGGAGTCGATGGAGAGAAGAGACGCGATCGATTGCGTACCTGGGTATGGAGAGAAGAGACGCGATGGAGGCGATGGAGGCGATGGAGGCCGTCGATTGAAACTCGCCGTCGATTGGAAGTCGCCGGCCGTCGACAGGAGGTTAAGATGGAGAGGATGGAGCGATGAAAAAGCTACGTTCTTCTTGCAGCCGGGTGGGAAAAAGGGTAATGAGGGAAATAGGGTTGTGTTCCACTTAGTTCCAGGGGGGTAGGATGGAACACGCGTGTCCAAGGCTTATCCAAGTTAGTTCCACTTAGTCCAATATTAGGCCACACCAAACACAGGACAAATGTGTTCTGTCCTGTTCTGTCCCACCCTGTCCAGCTTACCAAACGCACCCTAAAGGTCGTGTATTCGGATTGAGGTAGGAAAGAAAATGAAGATTATATTTGTTCTATAGTGATGTTAGAAATAGTTGCGTTGTAACTAAAATTATCTTTTACATTTGCAATTGCGTGATAAATTTTTAAATGCAGTTGAATGAGCAGAGGTATTTCATATCTCAAATAGCTGCATTTCATAGAGTTGATGCTAAAACCAYATCTATATTAATGAAAAATACGTATTTGCATAAAACGGGCTTATGCTCGAATAGGCATGGCAAAGGAAGTTACAGATGCTGCATCACAGACTAAATACGGCGAGTTGCTGACCGCCTCAGAAACACTTTACAACAGAATTTGGCTGCTGCATCCATTTTTTATACTCTCAAAAACATTCCATCAAACCAAATGGACCATTAGTGTTCCTTTTGTCATTCGAAAATGAATAAATTTTAATAAATTTTTACATCCCGCCGTATTACGCGGGTATACAACTAGTAATTTATATTAATTAAAATATAATATGAATAAATAAAAAAACAGAAAATAAAATAAATAATATACATTAATTAAAATTTTGTTTAAATAATAATAAAATAAAAAGTAATAATAACAAAAGAACAAAAAGACACAAAAAATCATAAAAAAAAAATCATCTTGAAGCCTATTTAAAAGTGTCAATAATAATCCATAAGGGTGTCATTAGCCTCCCTTTATTTATAGGAATTAAAACTATTTTTATAATTTGTAGTTTAGTCTAAAAAAAGTTAAATATGATTCTTTTTAAACGGAAGTTAAATTATGACTTAATAACCTACCGAAACTAGGCCTGCGGATATTTTGGCCTAAAGGTGTCGTTTAACTTATCGAAACGACAACGTCTAGCTTTATGCTATAGCCAATCATCAACCTCCACGTTGATGGCAAATTACGATATTACCGACCACAAGAAGGGCATAATTGTAAACATGGCAATATAAATCGGAGTTCAGTGGTGCAAATGGTTCTGTAAATGGTGTGGAAAAAGGGCCGAACAAAAAAAGCAAACCAGTTTCCGTTGTTTATTTATCCACGTAAAAATTTCAATTTCAATTTCAGTTTCAGTTTCTTTTTTAAAAGTCTCTCGAATCTTTCTGTTGTATATATACATAATCTTCGATTTTGGAGATATTTTGCGGACGGGGTTCGATTCGATCTGGGTATTTTAGGGTTAAAGAATTCTCTGCTATGGGTTACGATTCGATGACGAATGTTTCCATCCCCACTGCGGCATCAAAAGCCAAGGAAATTGGCAAGAAAAAGAGGGTAAAATTTGTGTAATCTTCTATCATGGATCTTGGTTTTGTTTTGTTGTTTCTTTTGATGCATTATATGATGGTGATGAAAGGGTGTTGTTTACTCGTTTTGGCAAAATGTTGTATATTTGTGTTTTCGCTAAATTGTCTGAAAACTTGGGGATTTTTGTTTGGTTTTGAAGGTGAATAGGACGGCCAAATTGAAGCAGAGCAAGCTCGATGTTCGTCGTGAACAGTGGCTTTCCCAAGGTGATTTAGTCTCTGTTTATCTATGTATCATTGAATTGTTTTTTTTTTTTGGAATTTTAGGTTTATCGACTAGTGGATAACCAATTGGGTAATTTGTTTACAGTGAAGAACAAGGGGTGTAAGGAGGAAATTAACGGTGCTAATGGTGTGAAAATGCATTCTCCGGACGTCCATGAACGGAATGATGACCGGCCGCTGATGAAATTGGAGATTAATCCTGTTGGTGAAGAGACTGAGGGCATTACGAATCATTACAGTGATTCTGATTCACCATCCAACAGCCCTATTAGTCACACGAGTAGCGTTTTCGGGAGTAACAGATCACGTTCTCCTTTTACCAGCAGCAGTAGTAGTAGCAGCGGTGGTTGTTGTTCAGGAAGCATGGCTGAAGAAGATGATGGCGACAATGGGTGTTTGGACGATTGGGAAGCCATTGCTGATGCTTTAGCAGCTGATGACCTTAAAAACGATAATCATGAATCCCCTGAACCTCCCCAGTTGAATTCACTCCCCCCACCTGAGCCAGAGCCTGTGAATGTTACAATGGTGGGTCAAGATGGTTGCTGTGCTCGAGCCTGGAGACCGGATGATATTTTCCGTCCACAGAGTCTGCCAAACTTGCTAAAACAAAACAGCTTCCCCATGAATTCGAACCAGCTTTATGGCTTTGGAGCCATTGAATTTGGTTTCAAGAAAGTCACTTCTCCTCCATCAACATGCCCAATATGCTGTGAAGATCTTGACTTAACCGACACGAGTTTTCTTCCTTGCCCGTGTGGCTACAGGCTTTGCCTTTTCTGTCACAAAAGAATTCTTGAAGATGATGGCCGTTGTCCAGGCTGCAGGAAGGAATATGACCACCATGGCCAGGGTAATGCATCTTTAAAGCTAGGCCGTTCTTGCAGCATGATCCCCAGGCATTAGAAAAGTAACCGGTTCCTTTGAGTATGTATTATGGCCTATCTTTTCACATATCTTGCTTGTCCTTTTTACTGTTCGAAACTGCTTTAGTGCCAGATGTGTCAATAGTAATGCAGATCTCTTATCGGTTTGAACTATTTGTTTAGCAATGTGATGATTCTATAGAGGATTAGTTTGTATGTGAATAGATAAGGTAGTATAGAAATTGAATACGAATCCATCATTTGGATTACAATGCAAATTAAAGGTGTCTTTGAACCTTTTCGAATTAATCCATCAGCAGAATAATAAGGAGAGTTGAAGCTTTCCATGGTATTTATGTATGTACTATGTATGAATAAATACATTATTATATGTATGATACAATAATAATAGAATGCCATGAACGATTTTGTTACTTTGAGGACTGATTTCTTTTCAATGTTGTGATATTTTTGCCGATGTTTCTATTTCTACCCGTGCTTAACTGGTTATCAAGGACATGCTTTTTGTTCACATGGTGAATTTATAGTAAAACTCGTCGCCTAGAAGAAACTTGAAGGAATCTCACATTGCAAGCAAATATGCATGCCACACCCTTGCCACAAAATCTGTAGTGCAGAACTTTAGGAGAATCTTGGTCTGTCTAATTGACGGTTTTCTTAACAAAAATATAGTGAAAACCTAATGTATGTATGTACCTTTATTTGAATACGTTGGAAAATTAATTTGAGCCCAAAAAAGCGTAAAGGTGTGGCCACTAGCAACGTTGGGATTTTCATGTGGCAAGTGGAGAATCGTTAAGATTTAAATCGTTGGATTGTAATATTGCACTTCATGTTGATGACTATTCCATTGATGGATGAGAGTTTGCTCATTGAGTTAATGTTTGGGCTTTTCTGTCTCCATTACCGAGTCCTGATCATGCCTGCTTTGTGGAGGTTCTTGAGAGGGTCTACCTGTGGAAATGCGAAATATTTTTGAAGAATACTTAAAGAACATAATAAGTACGTTGAGTTGGAGAAACTGGTTAACACAAACAAGGATTGCAAATGGATTAACGGATTTCTCTCCTGTCTGGTAGAAGTCTTATGCCACTCAGATCAGTGAAGAACTAAAGCAACATTCTCGAATCCTCATGCCAAGGCTGGTGTTGTTCCACCTGAGCTACAAGATATATGGAGAAAGTACCTTCAACATCAGATTTAACGGCTATTTTCATCTCTATATCTACCGTAGTCGGGTGGAAGGGAGCTGGAGGGGGGGGGGGATTATGAGTTGGACTAGTGGTCTGTAATTCCCTTACCTTGCTTATACTTTTCCTGTACTTGCTTCCATTTGTATGTTATTTCTTACTCCTAACTAGTTCTTTCTAATAAATTTCATATATTACCTTTCTTTCTTTTACACACTTTTCACCCACATCCCGCTAGAGGCCAGGTCTACTTACATCTTACGCCCAACCCCAACTTCCGGGTGGGACATTAGGTCCGTTTGGTTTTAATCTCGGGTCATTGAAAGGAGATGAGATGTTAAGAACACTTTATTTGTTTGTTATTAATGTACATGATTTTATACACATGTTCTTTATATGCTAGTGCATCTCCTTGCGATTTATGGCCTATGCATGGTCTTTTGTTACATTTCTGTTCTTTTTTCATGCCTTTTTCGGTTCTTCTTACCAAATGAAAGAAAGAAAAGAGAAAAAACTGAGCAGCATTATTACCAGATAGAAAACCATCTTTAGCAAGTGATGAACTCACCTGATAGTTTTTTGATGAATCCAGTAGCCTAGCTTGAATGTTGTAAAGGTATTTCTGATTGAATCTGAAAACCAGACTTCATTCCCAAATATATTTTACCTCCCAAATGATATTTATCTTAGCGATTTTACTGTTGAGGGTGAAATGGAAGTAGAAGTTCACTCATTTGGTTAGAAATGTGAAGGGCCTGCTAGTATACATCAGATGCATAGCATGGTCGATGGATATTGAACAGTTTCTTGTCATTTCAACATGGTGGGTATCGAACTGACATTCTTGACCATGTGAACCCGTTTATTGATCCCCTGACATGGCCTTCTTTTTGCACTTTTAGCTGTAAATGTTAACATAAACAACCTCTCTACCCCTTGGGACAGAGGTAAGGTCTGCATACGTCCTACCCAGACCCTACCTCTGTGTGGGATACACGGTGTTTTTGGTTTAGGTTTAAAATCATAAAAATTGTCTTTAAGAAACGAACTCTCTACCCTGTGGGTAGACGTAAGCTCTGCGTACATCCTACACTCCACGGACCCTACCTCTGTGTGGGACTTGATTGGTTTCATTTGGTTTTTAAGTTGTAAACAACATATTTCACAACGAGGTTGTTTCCGTGAACATCTAGAGTTGCTTTACTGGTTCACTATAGTGAGCTTTAGAAGAAAGAAGAGCCCTTCCATTAGAATGTTGAAGGTCAAGCATATAGAATAATTATCTACTAGTAGAAGCCACATGGAGTTTTGGATAACTGTGCATATCTGTGCCGGCTTGCACGCACTTAAGTGATCCCTTGGGGATATAAAGTTAAGAACCAGGTAAACCTCCAATGGACCTGAAGGGACTCAAACTAGTGACGAGAAGCAAATCCAAGGTCTTACCGGTTAAGCTGCACACATACACACAAACAGATGTGTATTAAAGGCATTTATGTCAGTATGTATACTGGTGTTGAAGTGGCAAAATGATGAGATTTATTGGAATTGAAAGAGATACGTAGGCACCAACCTACCTAGAAGGAATAAGTAATACACATAATTTTGGCATAATTGGTTACAGGGAATGGCACACAAATAACTATTAGTTGCTCACTTCAGATGAGAGTTCTCTTATTTCTGGATGAAACATCGTTGTTTTCACTGTGCGGAATTACATAAATACCCTTTCAGGCAAGATTCCGATCTATGTCTCTCAGGGAGCGTTTTCCACCACTCTGCAAACGTAGATTTTTCCAAAAACACATCCTTCTCGAGCTCGTTTTTCTGAACCCATTCATGCACTTCTTTCTCCAGAGCCACAATTTGCTCCTTTGTTTCTTCAAATGGTTTCCTTCTTATCTGCTCCACTTTCGCCCAAAAAGTGGTCTCAGAACTGGACCCTTCTTTCAACCTCAAAGCATGCTCACGCCATCTTTGAGTGAACTTGTAACGTTTTGGTCTACCACCATCTCTGAGATAGGTCCCTGTGTCTTCATCCTTTGAGTGCCGATAGTAATTAGCTATGTCTAGTGGCTCGACCAGTTTCCTGAACTTGGTCCCTAGCTCTATCCAATCTTTACGGCTCTCGAACCCGTCTGGGAGTTCATACCGTTTCAACATTTCCACAATCTCATCCCATTTACCTGCAAGTTCAAGCCTCCTTACGTTTTCCCTGAAGTCCTCGCTATCCTTTTGCATCTTGAAAGCGTCATAATAACCAATCCTGCGGTCTTCACACGTCTGTTTGTACTTGGCTATTAAATCTTGTGTTTTCTCGATGATGGGTATATTTGAATCGATCATCCTTTCATTTTCTAGCTTTTGCTTTTCAAATGCTTGTGCTGCTCGAAGACACAGCCTTGCCCTCGTGCTCTGCAGATTATTGTTCGTAAGTCTTAAGGTTTTTGGAGAAGCAGCTGAAAAGCTATAAACTAACCGGTAAACTAGTCATGTTTGGTAAAAACTAGCCAATAAGCTAGATGACAATGCAAAATGATCTAAAAAGGACACGTTGAAAATTAATTGGTGAAATATGAAGGGCATAATAGGAAAAAAGCTCCGGAAGCTTATTAAAACGCTACTTTAAGTAGCTTTTCAGAAAATGGCTAGAGTTTTTTCAGGAAGCTAAAAAATAAGCTAGCTTATGGTTGACAAACATGGAGTTATCTAGATAAATGACCTCCCGCCGGTTCTTAAGTTCATCACCTTCTGACAGGTTTGTAGGTGTTCTTATATATAGAAGTGGCATTCTCAAACCCGTCCAAAGGTCATTTAACCAAACAAACATGTCCTAACCTGTTGCATAAAAGTTATATATATATATATATTATTCATATTATTCTATACTCACCAGACCGAGGTCTGTTAGAGCCGTGTTTATAGAGGCTGCGTCATAGCCGTTTGAAGACAACGGGATCTCCATTTTGTCATCCAGGTACACAACATCTTGCATCCCTAATAAACTATCATTTAGTTCATTGATGTAATCCATACATAAGCTTCTTTTTGCTGTATTGATAACTTGTGATTCATCATCAGGTTGACAAGAGTAGAACAGAATCTGAAGAACTGAATTTGGATTCGAAATGTGAACCATTTTCCCATTCCCGGTACAAAAAATATAAGTGCCAGAAGGCCTGTAAGGACTGAGTTCAACAAAGCTAGATATGATCTCCAATAATGAATTTGTACTTCCCATAAGATTACAAGCATCATGACTGGCAACAGATGATGCATTCTTCAAAACTTTGTTGAAAAAAGCCGAAGCATCTTGGGATGTTAGACTTGATGATTTTTGGAAGTTTCTTGAATTGGGATTTAAGAAATCAAGAATGTGATGGAATTCATTCCTGATGGAGGAGAAGGGGGCTAGTGTTATTCGAGGAACAATATCATGTCTCCCGACAAAATGGAGGAAAAAACGCGCCCAATTCTCTCGGTTTAGAGCATGAGTGAATATACGGTCCCCAACAAGTGGGGACCCGAAAGTCACACATTTACAGGGCGGCCGGTTGCCGGATCTTGTGTATTTCTCCAGATACCAGACAGCTGCAAGGATGGCCACCGGACCACCTGTGGAATGCCCAGTAAAGATGATCGGTTTTTCTCTCTTCACTGCTTTCTCCACCTGCAGGTCATAAGGTAACTCTATTAAGCTAGCTTATTTTTAAAGCTGATTGAAAAAGTCCCATGGTTGGCGATAACCTAATATACTTCAAGTAGCGTTTTAACAAGCTTTAGAGACTTTTTTGTTTTCACCTTTTTCTCATCATGCCCTTGCCCCCTTTATTCTTCCAATTAATTTTCAACAAGTCCTTTTAGGAGGGGGCGGATTTAAGAGTTTGTTTATCGAATACCTACCGGGTAAGATTCTCAGCCCTCCCATGCCCACCCAGTAATAGTTTTGGGAACGACCCCCAAGTATACGAGATGTGCACCCTCTCTATGATATTGGAAAAATTAGGTGTCTTAAAAGTTACATCTGCTTTAAATTGACATGTGCTATTAAACAAGACATGGCTTGTAGCCTACTCGAGTCTTTTACATGACTAGTTTATCGGTTATTATCTGGGTTAAGCTTATCAGCCTTAACAAACCTGGCCTAAATCATGGATTTTGTTAATCGTTGTGAAAGAAATTGGTTGAAAACTCAAGGGAAGTTATATAAACAAATGACATTTGATTGACCAGGAAGTGCAAAACAACATGATTCTGAGAATTGGGATGATGTCCATTTACCTCATTCTGGAAAGATGGATTTTGCAGAACAGATTGAAATCTGCAAAAGAAGCCATGATAGATCATGGCAAGTTCATTGTTTCCGATGCTTTTTATCGAAGGAAACAGCGAAACGTCGATCTTGGTTTCTCCAAAAGGCTTGGAGGTGTAGAAATCTTGCACAGACCATGATCCACTGAAGGCGAAAATGACAGTTTCATCGGTGCCGGTTTCCTTTATATACCCCACAGCAGATTTATGCGATTTAACTGCTAAGAAACAAGCTTTTATGATGACAGATTCATTGATTCCTGATCTATCCCCTACACTTCCTTCCATCATCTTTCTTACCTTTTTTCTATGTGTGTGTATGTGAAGTATGTGTTTGCAATGGAAGACTTGATTGGAAGTTGACAATGACTTTTTATACCCCTGGTGGTGTGTTCAAATGGAGGGGCAAATTCGAGATTTCGTTGGGTTTTGGTTTATTAGTCGACTTTTGGGGGTTGCTTCTTGCCAGTCCACTAGGAAGTTGCCAGGCAGGAATATCAATATTTCACGACTTTTTGTAAATACTATATTCTTAATGTAAGTAGAATTTCATGTGTTCTAAATATACGTTGTTGGGAGTAAACGTATTTTAAACAGATATCTTGTATGCAATTTTTAGTTTGTGTTTTTAAGTAATACACTTATGAGTTGTAAAACAAAAATGGAAGGGATTATAATAAAATTGATGTGTCAATTTATTTATAAAAAAACGGTGTTGACTTGGTTTGATGGAAGTCTATATATATAAAACTTGTTAAATGTTCATGTAGTTTACCTTACACGTCTCTTTCTGCCTTCGGGGAATATATTGGCAAGGGTATATTTGTCATTTTACACGGGAATGTGAATGCGAATGCGATTGGGTATTTTGGTCATTTTGTCATGATTGGTTAAGGATTTGAAATGACTAAATTATACAAGCATCATATGTTTGCATAACGAATGACTACTTTATTTTAGCAATTCCAAATTTATAGACTTTTACAATCTTTTTTTTCTATTTTAGTATTGAGGATAACATGTTGTTGGAGCAACAAAAATCTATCTTTTCTTTATTTTAACATAACTGTTAGAGATACTATTTCAAGTAGTTATTTTATTTATTTATTTATATTGGGGCTCTTTCCTACGTGCCATTTAGCACACCACAAACACTAAGGTGCCAAGAGGAAGCCATCCGCAATTACTATATTTTTCCTTTAAACAATTTTCAAGATAATAGTTTTATTTCGGTTATTTTTGAGTTTAATATAAAGACTCCGTTCGAATAAGTAAAAAGTTTCTTATAAACTATTTGAAGCTGTGTTTTAATAAGGTTTAGGAGCTTTTGTCACTTTCCTTCGATTATACATATGATTAATATTAATTATTATTTATTATTAATAACTATTAATTATTACACAATATTATTTTTAAATTACAAAAAGAGTAAATATAATATTT